ATAGGAATATGTGCTTTGGTTGGTACATGAGTTATATTTATTTCTCACTGTGAGAAGTAGCCAGAGGTTGGGTGCAGTGGTGCACACCTGTAATCCTAGCAACTCCACGAGGCTAAGGCAGGAGGATAGTGAGTTCAAAGCCAGCCTCAGCAAAAGTGAGACCCTAAGCAACTCAATGAGACCCTGTCTTCAAATAAAATACAAAATAGTACTGGGGATGTGGCTCCGTGGTCAAGTGCCCTAGGTTCAATCCCCAGTACCAAAAAAAAGTAGCCAGAGAACCTGAAATACAGTGTCGTGTAGCCACATCTTCCTGAGACCTATCACCACCCCACCCCTCACTCCCAACTAGGAAGCCAATGGAATCTGCTCAGGGCCCTAAAACTGTCTTCACCTCATAGGGACAGAAGAGTCAGGAAAGGCTTCTTGGAGGAGATGGGGTTTGATCCATGACCAGGAGTAGGGAGGGGGATGCCAGGGCAGAAAGGCTCAGGTGACCTTCCAGGAGTTGGAAGAGTGGGAAAGACAATGGCTGGGAGAGGTCATGGGGTATGGCTGACATACCTCTGTTCTTGTCTTGCCTCTCAATTCAGGCAAGACAAGAACAGAGGACAGAGGGATGGCAGGAAAAAAGTCCATTTGATTTCAAAGATCTATATTCAATGTCACCCTTGAGGGGTACTTCATAGTGGGGCAATTGAGTGGAGTGTCAGGCCTAATGTCCGTTTCTCATTGAATACAACATAATGGCATCTGCTTTTCTTTTGCCAATTTGAATTTTAATTAAAATTTAAAAATCCAGAGCCTGGCCAGGTGGTGCACACCTATAATCCTGGTGGATCAGGAGGCTGAGGCAAGAGGATTGCAAGCTCAAAACCAGTCTCAGCAATTTAGTGAGGCCCTGAGCTACTTAGTGAGACCAAGTCTCCAAATAAAATATAAAAAGGGCTGGGGATATGGCTCAAATGGTTAAGCGCCCCTGGGTTCAATCCCTGATACAAAAAAAAAACCAGTTCCTTGTTCATACTGGCCACATTTCAAACATTCAAAAACCACAGGTGACTAATGGTTATCAAATTGGACAGCACAAAGTAACATTTCTGTCATTTTAGGAAATCCTATTGGATGGTGATGCTCTAGAATAAGCAAGTTAATAATAAATCCACTCCAGTATCACCTTCTTTGACGAATGCAACATTTTTCATGATTTCTATTACACCTGCAATCCTAAATGCAAATGCTTCTGAGAAAGGCACTGGAATCCCTTAAATTTTTTTTTTTTTCTCCTCTCTCTCATGACAGATAGGTAATATGCCAATGGGTCAATGTCGTAACAAGGTTCAGAGGGAGGCACATCTCACACAACAGCGTGAACACCCAATCATCACACTATGAACCAAAAAGGATCAGACCTTAAATTCTTACAAAAGAGAAACTAATTGACAGCAGGGGCCTGAAGAAAGCCAGGGTATAAGGAAACCATCCACCTGTGGCTGGCTGTGACAACACAGGGGATATCAAAGAATGACACTTTCCATGACTCAGTGTGCTGCTTGAGGATGCTGATGGATCAGGGCAAAGCAAGCAAGCTCCTCTGTTGAGGGATATGAAAAACTTCGTGAGCTTGAGAAAAGGGAATGACCTAAAGTCATTATTTATCTCTAGATGAGAAAACTGAGTTTATTTTTCAGTCTTCTATAACATCAGGGGGGTTACTACATGAGAAAAGAGTCTTCTCTATCTCTAGGGAGGGCAGATTAGGTGGACACAGACCTTTGCAGAGGTGGATGCTTGTGAACTTGGCCCTCCTCTGACCTCTACATTCACCCTGTGGAGGCTCTATCCATCTTCTCTGCACCTGAGCCTCCCAGAACTACACTACCCACCCAAGCCTAAAGATCCAAATACTAAGGAACTCAAAGGGAATTATCACAATCTCTGTCCCACCCCCACCCCTCCTCTTCCTGTAGTTCCAACCCTGGCTCATCCTCCACCTGCTCAGCCCTCACCCAGATCAGCACACTGTGAGTCACCCTGACTCCTCTCCTTCTTACATCCTGCGCCATGATCACCTTGGCCACCTTTCCACTCTGCCTAAGTCTGCCCAGCTGGGTTTCCTCTCCAGCCCTGCCCAGATCCTGAGGCAGCTGCACCCTGGCAGGGGCCACCTGTTAGCCTCTTTGCCTCCAGTCATAGCCACCTCCAGCCTGGTGGTTCTTAGCCATGGATGAGCAACAGAATGACTTGGGAATACGTGCAAAATCTAGATCCTGACTCAGGAGCTATCTGGCTGGGTCAAGCACATGTGTTTTGCAAAAGAGCCTCAGGTGACTCTGATATACACTCTTAGTTCAGAACATGGCCTCCTCCTCTTCATCATCCTTATGAATAACAACAAAAACAGCAATTAACATTTTTTGTGCACTTACATGTAATGCCTCATGTAATCTTCATGACACCCTATGAAGCAGGTTATTGAAACTAAGGAAAAAATTTCCATGGCTACTTAGGGGGATGATCAGAATATGATCAGCCACTCCACTCCATTCTCCATATCCCTTTCTAAAACCAAACTTGACATGTAGCTCCCCATATAACCCTTCATGACATTTCTAGGAAAAAATAAATAAACATAATGGGAGCACATTCATCCCTCAGTTGCTTATTAACTCCAAAAGAAATCTTGCTGGGCACAATGGCCCATGCCTATAATCCCACAGGTTTGGGAGGCTGAGGCAGGAAGATCATGAGTTCAAAGCCAGTCTGGACAACTTAGCGAGGCATTTAGCAACTTAGTGAGACCCTGTCTCTAAATAAAATATAGAAAAAGGGCTGAGGATGTGGCTCAGTGGTTAAGCCCCTGGGTTCAATCCCCAGTACCAAAAAAAAAAAAAAAAGAAAGAAAGAAAAGAAATATTTTGAGTTTTAAGTGGTTATATAGTGAATACCTATGTAAAAGTTTGCTGAGATATATGTTTAGGATTTTTGACTTTATGTTTGTTATTCTCCATAAAAAAAAATATCTTGAAAATAGGTTAAAAAAAAAAAAAAAAAAAAAGGCTACCAAATGTGAAATAGGTCAAAACATGGGTCTACTAAAGAAACCATGAGAAAGCCATCTGGCAAGAATACAGATAAGAAAAGATTTAAAGATGTCCTAAGTGCACCCACAAAAAATCCTCAGGGGAGGTTGGGCATGGACAGAGCATGGGCTGGAAGATAGATGGGTACCATGCACAACTGTCTGAAAAATCCCACCACAGGATGGCTTGGCGACAGTGGGGAGCCAGGGCAGATGCAGCAGCAGCAGCAGCAGCAGCACAAGAGCTCTGAGAGTCCACAGACTGTCTTTGGGTCAGAGACTATGGGCAGCCCCATGGAGAGATCAATGACAGTAAAGAGCTTATGCATTGGGAATAAAGTCCAACTCTACAAAATCCAGCTCCTGCTGATTTGGTGCTGAGGGACTCAAAGGATCCAAGTGGGGTCACCTATGTTCCCAGCTCCACTGAGCAATCCAGAGACACAGCTGTGGTAAAGTGATTTTGAAACCCATCCTCAAAGAACAAAAACAATTCTGAGAAAAAAGCATTGTGAAGCCTGCCTCACTCTAGCACCTGTTAAGGTACACTTACACTGTGCCCCCATAATGATGCTGCTCTAGAGCTACTCCATGGAACCTACCAGAAGGTCCTGGAGCTGACCTAGGGGAAAAAAAAAAAAAGCCACCAATATTAGGATATAGTGTATGCGAATACACAATTCTGTAGCAGAAAAAGCCTGAGTCTAACACAAAGCCAGAAATCAGTTCAGTCCTGTTGATCCAAATACCAGTGAATTATCCCACAAGGAAACTCCACTCAACAAGCCCAAAGGGAACTGTACCAATCTCTGCCCTGCCCCTATTGCTCCTCTACCTGTAGTTCCAATCCTGGCTCATCCTCCACCTGCACAGACCTCACCCAGGTCAGCATCCTGTGAGTCATCCAGACTCATCCCCTTTCCCTGCTTCCTGCCCACGATCACCACCTCCTCCACCTGAGTCTGGCAGCTGGGCTTCCTCTCTAGCCTTGCCTCATGGGCCTCATCCTGATGCAGCGGCATCCTGTCAGGGGCCACCTGTTGGCCTCCCTGCTTCCAGTAAAAGCCACCTCCAGCCAGTGATTTGGAAGACTACCTAAATTACATGGACATTTTAGATTATAAATGCTTTATAAATGAACAAAACTAAATAACAAATGATAATCTAGAATAAAATATTTATAACATGAAAAACAATGAGTTAATAGCCTTAAAACATACTAAGTACTCTTATAAATAATTAAGGCAAAAGGAATATACCCCATGAAATAATAAAAAAATAAATGAGCCAGGTGCTGTTGTGCACACCTGTAATCCTAGTATCTCAGGAAGCTGAGGCAGGAGGATCTCAAGTACAAAGCCAGTCTCAGCAACTTAGCAAGGTCCTCCTAAGAAATTTAATGAGACCCTGTTTCAAAATTTAAAAATCAAAAGGGTTAGCAAGAAAAGGAAAGAAAGAAAGAAAGAAGATATAGAAAATAGAAGACTAGAGAGTACATGATCAGATAATTCATCTAAAAAGAATCACCAATTGGCCGGTAAAACAATCTAAGTAATAAAGTAACAAAAAGAAATCAAACTAAAGGTACAATGAAATATCCTTTTTTCTTATCAAATTTACTAATTTTTTAAATTGTTAATATTTAGTGATGGAAAAGATGTAGTTAAAGAGCTACTCTCACAGGACTGATGGTGAGCACCTATGCTGAATATGCCTTTTTGGAAGGCAATTTAGCAATATATATCAAAATCTTGAAAGTGTGCATGTTCTTTGATCTAGCCATTCTCCTTACAGACCATATCCAATAGATAAAAATAAAGGTGCACCCAGTGTCAGTATATATAATGGGTGCAATTGTTAATAACCTTAAGTGACAAAAATAAAAGATTAGTTAAATCATGTTCAATACACAATAAAATATGAGAGATTCATAAGAAGTTTATTTATGAACAAGAAAGAATGTTCACAACATATTGATAAGCATGAAAAGCAAATCACAGAACAATATGTACAATCTGAAAAATTTCTTCCTGTGTTTCCTACTTCTTGAGAAGAAGCATTGCAGTGTGTCCTGGCAGAAATCTCACAGGGAATGCAGACCCCACCACAAGTCCACCTCACCTTTCATCTGGTGGAGAGTCTGCCTCTAAGTCCTACTTGGCCCTGAGCACTCACACTCTGTATTTTGACATATACAATATTTCTTGTGCTGCTGTTTAACTTTTCAAGATTAATCTTGACTCCTCAATTCACTAGAATGTTGCTAAATCTCACATTTCCTTCCTCTCAGTGCCTCCTACAGAACAAGTTATCAGCAAACAGCAGAAGAAGAAAGAATGTATCACTTCTGTGCATGCTCCTGTAGGCTGGCCAAACCACTGGCTGGCTCCACAGGTGTGGCAACCAAGCCCAGTTCTAGGCCAGGCTTGGGGCTGTGTGTTGTCGGCCACCTATCAATCTAGTTCTATGAAGATGCTTATTGTTGCTGCTAATTATTGTTGAGTGACAGGGCTGTTTGTTTAAAGCATTAGGTTACTGCCCCACACCCAGAGGCACAGCCAATCCTACTGCATCCTATAATTAATGAGCTGATAAGTGTTTCTTCCTTATTTCCAGTGCAAAGTTGGCTTTGGACCAACAGACCATGCCCACTCCTTCTGCAACCCTCTCCCATCTACAACCTCACGTCTTGGCTGTTGGACGCCTCACATGGAGAAGCATCCTCTTTATCCAAACTGTGGACATGGTCAGAACAGCCGTACGTAAGTCCCTGTGTCCCCACCCAGACTCACCAGGTCCTTCTGGTCCTCCTAAGTGACAGAGTTTCATGACAAGTCTAAGCCAATCTATTATCCAAGCAGCTCACCCTCTAGGCCCAGAAATCCCTACAGGAGGTACAGAAGGGCTCTCGCATTCAAATTCAACAACTCAAGTCTCACAGTTGTCCTAAATCCCTGCAATCAGTGCTCACTTGTTATGCCTTCTGCAGGAAAAAAATATAAAAGCCATCGGAAAAGGAGTGGGAGTCAGAATCAGGGAGAGAGAATTGGGCAACTGCTTCTTTTTTCCCCTTCTACAGATATGAACACATCCTGGTGTTCACAAGGTCCAAAAAGGAGCAGAGAGGGAAGTCCTGGAGCATTTGCCATGAGCACATGTAAGAGCTTTATGAATGCCAAGCTTGGCCTACCCGCCACTGGGACTTTGGGCAAGGTATCTGATCTCTGGATTCAGCTTTCTGGCCTGTAAAATGGGACCACAGCAATGGAACATGTCACACAGAGTTGTCAGAATTAAATAAGTTAATGGATGTCAAGCACTTAGAACATGCCAAGCATGGAGTGAGGACCAACATAAATGTTGGCCATTGTTAATGTTGAAAATGTCTTCCTGTGAGTCCCCTGAGCTCTCTCCAGCTTCTGAGAAAACAGATGCCGCACAGCCAACACAGGGCAAGCTGCTCTCCCCGGTGCTTTGAAACTGGCCACGAAACATTTCTGCAGAAACTCTGCTCTGAGCAGACCTCCAAGGATGTTGAGTTGGCCTAGCCAGACATGGCAGCTGCCACAGGCCTACCAGGCAAGGGCTGTTTGGGGGTGATCCACAATGGCCCCTGGGGAGAGTCCCATTTCCATAGAGACAGTCTCCTAAGGGTTGGGAACTGGAAACGCCTCCAATTTCCATAGCAAAGATTCCTTGTTACCTGGGGGCCTGGAATAGGGAACAGAAAGGGAGGGAAGGAGGGACCCACTCCAAAGTAAGTCCTTAGTTTCAAGAGATTGGGTAATTGGGTGCTGGTCAGTCCATCTCATGGCCCTTCAGACACACTGGTGAGTAGATAGGTTCCCTGGGGGTCATTAATAAATATTAATTTTCTAGCCAGGTGTGGTTGGCACATGCCTGGAGTCCCAGCACTCAGGAGGCTGAGGCAAGAGGATCACTTATGAGTTTGGGACAAGCCACAGTAACACAGCATGACCCCATCTCAAAAAATAAAACTGAAAAATAAATATTAATGTTTTTGTGTTCTTTTTCTGCCTTCTGGATCCAGGCTTTCTGAAAAGAAGTTTAAATTCCTCTCATCTCCTGCTTTACCATCTCACCTGAGCTGCAGCATTTTCTTGTTTGTTCAACTTACATTTTGGGATCCAGGCACTTTGGCCAGCCTTGGGACTTAGCTGAGCTGATGTTACTGGTTCCCACCTGACATTACCTCAAGGCTCACTAGAGCTGAGAATGGCATTGAGGGCATTGCTCTTCATCTGGTTAGTGTTACGCTCCCAGTGCTTAGAAAAGTGCCTTGCACACAGCATGTGATCAGTAAACTGATGTTAAATAAGTGCATGTCGATGTTGTAAAGTCTGTCATCCTCCTTGTGCCCCCCTCACACACACACACACACACACACACTCACACAGAGCTTCCTCTGTGGCTTCTTCAATCGATGTTTTGTTCCATTTCCAGGTCCACTTGTATCTAATTTTATTGTCTTCAATGTATTTATTAAAATGAACAGATTTCCTGTTTTCTAATTCATTAATTTGTTTTATCTTGTTTGTTCTATCTTGTTTTCATCAGTTTGTTTTCTTATGCTTTGTCTTCATTCTTGAGTTCCCAGCTTGTGGAGTTTAATTCCCTTCTTTTTGGTTAATGATAAAACATTTAATTCCAGGCATTTTGCTTGAGACTAGCTGGGCCATATCTAGTAAATTTTGGAGTGTTTTCCACATCCTTAATTTCTCAATAGTCTGTAATGCAGGTAAGGAATGCTTATCTATCCCACTACCCACCCCAAACTTCACCAGCCATCTTCCTATTCTTTGACAGGAAAATAGTGTCTACTATTTTCTATTTAAAATAAAAAACAGGGGCTGGGGATGTGGCTCAAGTGGTAGCGCGCTTGCCTGGCACGCGTGCGGCCTGGGTTCGATCCTCAGCAACACATACAAACAAAACAAAACAAAGATGTTGTGTCCGCCGATAACTAAAAAATAATAATAAAAAAAAATAAACAAACTTCGCTGACTTTATAAAAAAAAAAAAATTGGGGTGTAACTACTACTTCCAGCCACTGCCCTTCACACAGCCACCCACCTCTTGGCTTCACTTAAATTGATTCCAAAGCCACAGGGGGCAGCCATGTGCTGGGTACTGTCTGCCCTCCCATAGCCCAGGGTTCATTTGGGGCTGTATTGTTCTTTGTTGTAGGCGCTGTCCTGTATGTTGTAGGATGTTCAGCAGCATTCCTGACCTACCCAGGAGATGCCAGTAGTGTATGTGTGGCGCCAAGAGTGTGTGTGTGCATGCCTGGGCATGTACACGCCACACACACACGCCACTACCATCAAGTGTAACAACCAAAAATATCTCCAAACATTGCCACATGTCCCCTGTTGGGAGTTGGGAGAGTTGGTTCTCTCTTGTCGGAGAACCACTGATATATTCCCATAAAAGCAGAGGCCATGAAGAAACCAGGCCACACATTGTGACCACCCACCTCTGTGCAGGTCTGGTGAGCATCAAGGCCTGGAGGTCCTGCAGTGGGCCCCTTGTGGTTAGATGTAGGAGCTGCAGGTGGGGAGGTGCACCTATTTCTCTAAGTGGATGTCCTTTTCTCCTCTTGCAGAAAGAATAGGAAAATGGGGAATAGAGGGCTTCCAGTTGGAAGGTACCCTCACCTTTAGGAAACTAAGAAGGTGCAGAGAAAAGAGAAGGGAAAAACTCCTCTAGCAGTCTGTGGCCTTGGCCTTAAAGGGCATGAGCCGGGTTCCCAAGACTCCTGGGAACCCAGTCCAGTATGAAAGGGAGAGAGCCAGAAAAAATTCAGAGCTGAAGCCCTGACCACAGCAAGAGAGGATGCTCTTATTTAGTGGGGCCTCTGGGCACAGGGGCAGCAGCAACCCCTCTGTTCTCAGGAAACAAGTGGGCTCCACAATTGATTATGAAAGAAGCACATTGCTCTCCTCATAAAACAATGTCCCCACCATTTAACACTATTAAAGTGTAAAATGCACAAAGTTTGACCTTTTATATGGACATATCAGCATAAGTGCTCGGGGTCTACAGAGGGGCTGTAGTGTTGTGATCTAGAGTACAGGAGTGGGACTCAACTGCCTGGGTGCAAGTCCCAGATCCTCCACCTACCAGACGTGTAACCTTGTGGAAATTATTGATCTTTTTGTGACTTAGTTCCCTCATTTGTGTAGTAGGGGCAATAAAAGAACCTATCTCATTGGGACATTTCAAGGGTTATATGGCTTACCACATGACAACAATACCTGTTGTCAACAATTGCTAGCTATTTTTCTGTTCATTGTGCCCTTAATTGGTAATAGCTAAAAATCTGGATACTTAAATGCCAATCAACTAATTAAATACATGTGGCACATCCAATCTACGGGAAGACTGGGCAGCCATTGAAAGAAATAAAGTAGAACTACATCTACTTAGATAAATAGAATCTATTTAATGATGAGTAATAAATAATATTATCTTTTATTTATTTATAGAGAAATAAATAAAATATAGAAATAAATATTTATATAGAAATAAAGATTTCTATTATATATAATAGAAAATATATGCACAAAAAGTATATAGAGTTAAGAGCTTATTATTATATAAAAAAGCTAGTAAATAAATAGATATGTGACGTAATCTGCAAAGAAATTTTCTAAGGTTTTAACAATAGTTATATCTAGGGAAAGGAAACGGAGGATTCAAGAACTTCTGCTTTCTCCTTTGATACTGTTTGAATCTCTTATCATGAACACTAACTTTTGAAAACTTTTTTAAAAGTATGTGCTCATGTACTTTTCCACTGGTGTGAAATTTTTAAGATATATCGTTAATTTTTAAGTGGCAGAATATGAACAGTACATGACACCTGAATCTTAATTTACAAACTTAGGCATGCAAGAAATCACATTTTAGTGCCTGTAACTCAATTCACTGCTTATGGGAAGCTTCAGTCCTGACAATAGGAGACTTGATGTCAGATGTGTCTAAATTCTCCTGAACGCTGGAAGAGCCAGGCACAAGCTAGAAAAGGTGAAGGTGAGGCTGGCTGAGGCCAGGTATGGCAGTCCCTGCTGCTATGTGCCTCTTCAGAGCAATTAGGAACCATGGATCAAGTTGCCAGTGACCTTGTGTCCTGCCTTCACCATGACGTCAACTCTCTTTGGGATTTTACTGCCTGTCTAGGCGAACAGGTAGAAAACAAGGTGGGACATTTCTCCTCTTGTGTCTCCTGCCCTTAGTCAGACTGGAGAAGGGAGGGCTTACAAGGGTTGGAGGTCTTTCTACTCCAAAGCAAATTATTCTTCCATCTTGTTTCTAGTCAAGGCATTCAATCTCTGCAAGAGAGCCCTTGTCCTTTGATAAGCTGTTCAGAAAATCTTGAGGTTGCTCTAAAGAATGCTTAAGCTTTCAGCACACAAAAGCCAGAGATACTTGAAAGCTGATTTGGATTTCTAACCTGGAGAGAGGTTCAGAAGTGATGAGCTCCATGAATGTGAGGACAAGAAAGGGGAAAATTCAGGGATGAAAAAAGATCAATTCCACAAATATTATCTCAGACTCACATATGTGTAAGTGCAAAGCAAAAAGTCTGAATGTTTCCACCAAATAATTAATAGTGCCTACTTGGAGGATAGGCTTTTGGATGTGGGGTGGGAGGAAGAGGATCATTAACTTTTTATTCTATATTTCTAAACCATTTGGCTTTTCAACTATGAAACTGTATTCAGCATTGCTTATATAATTTAATATTGTATTTGTTTTTTTGGTACTGGGGATTGAACCCAGGGGTACTCTACCACTGAGCTACATTCCAGTCTTGTTTGCTTTTTCTTCTGAGACTGGGTCTCAGTAAGTTGCTGAAGCTATTCTTGAACTTGTGATTCTCCAGCCTCAGCCTCCCAAGTTGTTGGGGTTACTAGTGTGCACCACCACACCAGCTAATTTATTATTTTAAATAAATAAATATTCACGCATACTTTGCCATCAGGCTGGTGATAGATGGTGGTGCAGGCCAACATCCCTTTCTAGCACGTTTATGGGCAACCCTTGGGAACCTCTTTGTATGAGGAGTTGAGAGACCTTCTGAGAAAGAACTCTTTCTAAGGTAAGAGGGAAACTGGCACAAGGAGCTGACACAGAGACGAAGCTTTGCTCAGTGGGAAGGAGCTGATTCTGAGATAGATTGGTATTTGTGAATTAGATATATCTGCGGGCCAAGTCCATGGCTCTACAAGGCAACAGGGGACCAACAGCTCCCAGCACTGCTGCTTCAGTGAGGTCAACCGGCATGCTGCTGACTCCCTACAGGTGTAAGGTGCATGATGGGTGTGGCAATGTCCAGCAGAACAGATAACTCCATGGGGTGTGGTAGGGGCACAGGGAGGTTGCAGAGCTGGAGGAAGGAAAATGATGGGGGGGGAGGTGGTAATAATTTTCTAAAGTTGTCCACTAGGACACAGGAAACACACACCCTGGGAACAACCAAAATGATCTTGGGGTGAGGGTGTGGGAATTAAGCATGAACTGGGATCCTGAAATAGCAGTCAGAAGCAAGAAAGACATGTGGATGAGCCCTACCAATGTGACATGTGCGTGAGTCCAGGTGTGTGCACAGGCAGGGAACACAAGAGAGGGAGCCACAAAGTCTACATGGGCGGGATCAGGGAAGGTCTCCTGAGACAGCTGATGTCAGTGACTCAGAGCTTGATAGATAGGCTATGGGACATTGGATGGCAAGGGTGGAGGAAACCAAATGTGCAAAGGCCTGGAGCTGAGAAAGAGTGTGGGGTTTGGGGAACTGAAAGCAGCATAGGTTGATTACAGTAAATGAAAGGGTGTGGTAGAAGATGAGGCAACAATGGTTGTATTCCATGGTAAAGAATTCGGACTTTATCCTGCAGCAGTGGAAAAGCTCAAGAGGTCTGTTTAGCAGGGAAATGAGATGATCAAATTTATCAGAGAGCATTTCACTACCATACTCCCACTTCTCTTAATTCCCACCCAATGAGCAGTCTGAGTGTGAGATTCTTTTCCTTCAGAAAGTGTTCCTTGACCACCCTGGGACTCAGCCAGCTCTCAGCTTATGCTTCTAGAAGTTCCCAAGCACCTATTCCATCTTTCCCCATTGCACTGCATCTTAATGATCCATATCCTGTACTTTTCCCTCCTCCTCCATACGCTGTGAGTACTGGTGGTAAGGAACAATGTCTGTTGTGTTCTCTGTTGCATTCCTGCACCCTGCACAGTGCCTGCAATGGTAAGTACTCAATATATACTTATTTAATAAAACATAAAATGTGAGACACTCTTATGGTTTCCAACCCTTGGAGTCTAGGTTGGAAATGGGTGGCAGGGGACCAAGAAGAAGGCTCTTGTAATAATTTAGGTAAGAAGTAATGAAGGCCTAACCTAAAGTGGTGGTGATGGAGATGGAGAGCAGGGAGACATAGGGAAAATATTTGGGAGGCAGAATTAATAAACCTGGGTGATTAAACCAGGGTGCCAGATAAGGGAAGGAGGGCTCCTAGGCTTCTGGCTTCAGCAGTTGAGTAGATGAGGAGTAAACCAAGAACTGGCTATTCTGGAAGAGGAGACAATGTGGAGAAAGGGAAGAAGATTCTGGAATCAATTTAGACTGACTTTGACATGCCTTTAGTACATTCAGGTAGAGAGGTCCCAGGTGGAAAGATGAAACTGGAGCTTAGGATAAACATCTAGATTAAAGAAGAGATTTGGGAGCCCTCAGCCTGCAGGTAATGGTTAAAAACCAGAGAGGGGATAAGATCACCCAGGGAGAGGAGGAGGAGGTAAAACAATGGGGATGTCAACCTTTAATTGGTGAGCTGAAGAGGAGTCAGGAGAAAAGAGAAAAAAGCAGGTATGACATGGAAGAAGGAAAGAAGCCAAGGTCGTATCACAATTAAGAGAGAAGCATTTTCAAGGACTAGAAAATAGAGTCCAATAGGGTCGAAAACTAGGGCCTCACTTGCAGTAGAGAAAACCAAGGCCCAGGGAGGCTGACTAAAGTGGTAGAGGCCAAATGCAAACGAGGTCTATGGTCATAGAGACCAGTGGCTCTCAAATTGTGATCCCTCCCCTTGACTTGTAGAGTACCCAAGACCCTTCCAGGGAGGTCCATAAGGTCAAGACCATTTTCATAATAATTCCCAAAGGTTTTTGTAGTATTCACTTTGTGGACATTTGCCTTTATGTTGTAGAAGCAACAGTGGGTGACACTTATGGGGCCGTAACCCAAATCACCAAACTGGCACAAAACTTCCTTAAAAGTCATACTCTTCACCCACCATAGTTGAAGTTTTTAAACTTTTAAGTTGTTTCATATAAGAATGTCCATAACAGCTAGGTACAGTGGTGCATGCCTGTAATCTCAGCAACTCAAGAGGCTAAGGCAGGAAGATCGAAGTTCCAGGCCAGCCTCAGCAACTTAGCAAGACTCTAAGCAACTTAGCAAGACCCTGTTTCAAAATAAAAAATAAAAAGGACTGGGGATGTGGCTCAGTGGTTAAGCACCTCTGGGTTCAATCCCTAGTACCACACACACACACACAAAAGTCCATGATAATATTTTAATAACCATTAATTTTATTAAAACTGGACTATTAATTACCTGTCTTGCTAACAGTCTGCTCATAAAGCAATTTTGAAAACAGAAGTCCAGGAAGAACTTGTACAATTGTTTTTGCAAGCTGAACTACCTGTTTTTTTGTTTGTTTTGTTTTGTTTTGTGGAACATCATTTTTGTATAAAGGACTAACAGACTATGCTTCTTCATACTCGTATATCTTTCAGATGTTTTCAGGGAAATGAATGAAGTGAGCCTTTCACCTCAAGAAAAACAATTATGTGTTGCCAGGAACACCAGCACACACCTTTAATCCCAGCAGAAGGATCACAAATTTGAGGTCAGCTTAGGCAATTTAGCAACACCCTCTCTCTCAACAACAAAAAAAAGGGCTGGGGATTCAGTGCAGTGGTAGTGATAGAGCATCTCTGGGCTCAATCCCTAGTACAAAAAAAGAAAAAAAAGAACACACAACAGGGAAAAGACAGTTTCATCAATAAATGGCACTGGGAAAATTGAATATACATAAGCCAAAGAATGAAATTAAACCTTAATCTCACACAAAAATGAACTCAAAATGGATTAAAGACAAATGTAAGACCTGAAACTGCAAAACAACTAGAAGTAAACAAAAAGGAAAAAGCCCACAATATTGGTCTGGGCAAAGATTTTCTGGATATGACTCCAAAAGCACCAGCAACAAAAACAAAAATTGACACATGGGATTCCATCAAACCAAAATGCTTTTATAAAGAAGAATGAAATTATGTCACTGGCAGGAAACTATGTGAACCAAAATAAGTCAGACTCAAAATTCAAGGGTGGTATGTTTTCTCACATTTGTGGAAAAGAAGGTTGGTGGGAGGCAGGATCTCATGAAAATCAAAAGGAGATCAGTGGAATAGAGGAAAAGTACCAGGGGGATGGAGGGGAGAGGGAAAGGGAAAATACTTGGGAGTGATACTGATCAAATTATTATACTGTGTGCACTTACAAATATGTAACAAATCCCACCATTATGTATGACTATAATGCACCAATAAAAAATGTAGGAAAAAACCCTAAAGGACAGAGCAAATGAAACAATAAACAGAAGAAAGAGACAATCTACAGAATAGGAAAATATTTCTGCAAATTATTGATAAGTGGTTACTATTCAAATAACTCGACAGGCATGGTGACATACAACTATAGTTCCGGCAACCCGGGAGGCTAAAGCAGGAGGATAGCAAGTTCGAGCGCAGCCTAGGGAACTTAAGAGAGACCCTGTCTCAAAATAAATAAGAAAAAAGGCTGGGGATATTTGTACACTCATGCTTTCAGCAACATTATCACGATAGCAAGCAAGGTACAAGTGTTATCGAAGAATGAACAGATGGGCAAAATATGGAATATACATACAATGGAATGTTGTTTAGGCATATAAAGAAGGAAGTTCTGAAACATGCTACAACATGAAGCCTGAAACCACTGTGCTGGGTAACGTAGCTGGTCACAGGGAGAGATGCACTCTATGGTTCCACACACTTGGGGTGTCTAATAAGATTCATGGAAATAGACAGTATGGGAGGTGGTTAGAAGAGGGAGGGGAGAAAGGGGAGTTGTTATTTGGTGGGTATAGTTTCAGTTAAGATGAGAAGAGTTATGGAGCTGGCTGGTGGTGATGGTTGCACAATAAAGTAAATATACTTAATACCACTGAACTGTACACTTAAAATAGTGAAGATGGTAAATTTTATATTATAATCTATTCTACCACAATTAAATTTTTTAAATTATATAATGGAAACTTGATGACCATTGAAAAATGATTTCATATTACTCCCTCCCCACACCTTCTGATAGCCACCATTCTATTCACTTCCTTATGCCTCATAAGGGTAGAATCATGCAGTGTTTTTCCTTCAGTGTCTGACTTGTTTCCCTTGGCACAGTGCCCTCTAGGTTTACCCACGTTGTTGTAGATGGCATGATTATTGTTAAATTTTATATGTGTGTGTGTCATTTTGGTATGTATATTCTACTGTATGTTTATACCATGTTTTTTTAACCCTTCTATATACACAGTGAATAAGTTCTAGAGATTTATCATACAACAGAGCCATACAACATTGTCCATATAATTGACAATACAGTATTGTGCACTTTAAAATATGTTTAGAGGATACATATCATCTTAGGTTTCTCACCCCTCCCACTAAAAAGCCACATACAAACAAAAGAAAACAAGAAAAATTTTGGAATAGATACATTTTCTCTACCTTAGTTGGTAGAGAATTGCAAGAGTATTCATGTGTTCAAATTTGAAATGTACACATTAAATGAGGGCTATTTTTTGTATATTAATTATACCACAATAAAGCTAAAAGGGAGGAGTAAAATGTTTCTAAGAGCAAAACATCTGAGAACCTCTGATGCAGACTATCTGTTCCTGTCTTCCAGTTCTTGGACCCTGTTTTCAACACACCTACCCTTCCATTTACTTCACTGAATGCAGAATTATAAAACTCCCCAAACAAACTTAGTTGAAGAGATAAGACATCAGGCATAGCAAGCTAAAGAGAGAATAAGACCCTCAAAATCATTTTCCTCTAGCAATAGTGGCAAGGCCTGGTAAGTAGCTCTGCCAGGCTAGGCTGGGTTCACAACCCCTGCCTGCAGCCCACCAGTGGGAGAATAATAATGCCAGAGCTTAAACAGGAGTTCAGGTGTCTTATCTTTTTCACATTCCATATCTGATGTGATACAACAGTGAAGTAAAGGCAGGTGGAGCCATTTTTTTTTAAAAATCAGTTACAATTTACAGGGGAGAAAACACCAAAATATAAAAGAGAGGGCTGTAGTGGGGCACCTTCTGTCTGAAGTCCAGGGGTCCCTTCACCAGGCACTGGCAACAAGATGCCTAAATTGCAAAGCACAGTGGCACATGCCTGTAATCCCAGCATCTTGGGAGGCTGAGGCAGGATGATCACAATTCAAAGCCAGCCTCAGCAATTAAACAAGACTGGAGACCCTGTCTCAAAATAAAAAATAAAATAGACTGGGAATATGGCTCAGTGCTTCAGCGCCCCTGGGTTCAATCCCTAGTACCCAGCAGACAAAATGCCACTCAAGCCTGGAGGTCTACCATTAAAACATGCATTTTTTACTTTATTCTTTGCATTATGTTTATAAGCCATGTAGACTTCTTTTTTTAAAAAACTTTTTCCATTCTTTTGGGTTATTAGTCTTTTTATTTTATAAGATAAAGTGACCCTCTATATTATTTTTTATTACAGAATAAATATTTAAGTGATTAAAAAATAAAAGCTGTGGTGCACGCCTATAATCCCAGAGGCTCGGGAGGCTGAGGTAGGAGGATCACAATTCAAAGCCAACCTCAGCAACTTAGTGAAGTCCTGAGCAACTTAGTGGGGCCCTCTTTCAAAATAAAATATAAAAAGGTCTGGGGATATTGGTCAGTGGTTAAGCCCCCCTGGGTACCCCCCCTCCAAAAAAAGTTAAGGAAATAGAAGACAAATAAGAGATGACTAAAACAAAAGCTGATTTCTTAAGAGGCAGATGAGTAACAAAAATTATTATGAAAAAAGACCACAGCATCAAATAAGTGACACTAGGAATGAAAAAGATAAAATACAATAGATATGAAACTATAAAAAATTCTATATTAATAGCCTCAAGACTTTTTTGAGAATTAAAATTATCAAAATCAATTAGAGAATAAATAATAGTTTTAGTAATACTTAAAGTCATAATAGAGGTAATATCCTGGAGTTTCCTCTTAAAATACACACTTGTCGAGGTAGTTAAGCACTAGTAAGTCGTTCCTCAGCTGTGGTCTTCTATGACAAGAGTTGGAACTTTGGACCTTGGACTTTGTCAGTCTTGTTTGGAAGGAAAGAGGATGTTGAGAGTATAGCAGAGGGACTGGTCTGTTCCCTGAAGTCAGGTTACTCCAAGGCTGAACCAGGCTGCCAATACATCCCTTCTCACCTCCTCAAGAGTAGCAAACCACCCACCTCACTTAGCCCTTCCCACAATTCCCTCCTCACTCACTGCTTTCCTTCTTCCCTATTCTCCTCTTCCCCCTCTGAGCCTCCCCTCCTTACCCCCATCCTCTGTTGAAAGAAAAGAATAGCTCCAGGTGCCATGCTACCTCACCCAACATCCTACCCTCTCCTGGCTCCTGGCAATTTCAGCCTGAAGAATTCAGCAAAGAGGTAAAGTCCTGAGGCCTAACCCTATGCCTGTCTTGGCCCATTCCTCAAACTCATTTCTCAGTATGATCTTACGAACAAAAAAGGGACCCCAGGGGTAAAGGATATGCAGTAACAGGTGATAGTTGTCTAGCTCTGAGCCCTGGTACTAGAGCTAACCCAAATGATCCATCATTTCGTATCTTGTTCTGTTTGTAATCCAAATAAATGTCTCACATATATAAACAATACTGTGTCTCAAATTTGTCAGTATAGTTGGATGAGTAAAAGTTAAATGTAGTTAAATTTGCTATTCATTCTATTCCAACTGTGAACAACTTAGTATCTCCAAAAATACACACTATGAGTACCACATACAAGCATGTATGTGTTGGGAAGTAGAAAACCATTAAATATTTTAATGACAAAAAGAGCCATCTCCTTCAGGAAAAGAAGGGGATGACCAGTGTACCTGACATTACTGTGGTCAAGTTGATGTCTCTTTATGGTTCTATCCATGGGGTGGGTGGAAAGGAGTCAACACAAGTTGAATTCAGGTAGGAAGTCTTCCTTTGTGGATCTTGACAGAAATTTAGTCTTGGATTGACCCCCCAGCCCTTAGTTGTTCCTAAAGCAGGTAATTCCATGGACTCCTTACCTTGCTCAAAGACTGGGAGATAAGATGGGAACTGGAAGGCAGATATTCTCCGAGACGCCCAACTTCCGCTGATGTTTGGAGTGACCAGCCTGTCCAGATACAGAAAAACTGATGCTGCAATGATGTCAACCAAACCCAAGTCCAGGACACATAACCAGGTTTGTTCAAGTACATGAACGAACATAGTTAGGAGGATAAAAATCTGGATCATAGAAGATATTTGGTGGTTCTTACCAAAGTCGATCTTTGGCAAATGTGAATAGAAATCTAGCTCTAGGAAATGAAAAATCCACAAGGGTAAGAGAGAGGTACCACATCATGAACATTAGCCAGTTCAGGGAACTGTAACTGAAAATCCCTAAGGTAGGTCCCCAGATACTCCCACCTATCTCATGAAATGCCTAAAAACCAGAATAAGAACTATCGACCTTTAAGCAGGTTGGGCAGGACGGGTGGGGCTAAGTAAGGCTAACTGGAGCTGGAACCAGTATTATTCTGAACTGCTGACACTCTGCCACTCCAGTACAGATGAGGGCTCTGAGAATGGAGTATGATGGGTATATAGAGGAGTATACAGAAGTAATGATGAAGAATGGTGAGGAAACAACTTTCTAGTGTTACTTGTGACTGGGTCTATTTACCATCTGAACTTCTGGGTCCCCCTCTAACCCTACCGAACTTCTATAGGTTCAGTTTTGGAAATTAGTGAGCTGCCTTCTTCAAAGTATCCACCACTCTCTAACATCAGAGACCTAGGAGGTAGAGGGCTTTCTGCTTGGGCTTTATACAGACTCAAGGGCTGTTAACAAGTGACCAACTCAAAACCTCCCTCTATGGTTACCTCTGGAGGTAATATCACAGGAAGCCTGAGTGTGTTTTTATGTAATCTATTAGGCCCTTAGAAGTCTTCTTTCCAAAAATATCTTCCCTGCTCTAGATCCACCTGGTACCTAAAGTTTTACCATTAGGGTCCTTAAAGTTGCTCAAAAAGTCTCTAGAGAAATATAAATATAACTCTTAACTCAGGGTAGGAGTAGGGGATTGGTGCAGAGTTACACAAGAACAAATGAGTGGAAGCCCTGAAATTCCTTTATCGGGGGCACAGAAGGCAAAGGAGTGAAGTGTGAGTGGGGAAGTGGAAGAATTAAGGGTGTCTATCTAGAAGCCGTTTTCAGAGAATACATGGTTTGTAATTACACTGCATATTTATTTAGGGTAGCTTTGACTAAGACTGATAGGGATTTGGTATGCCAGACTCTCCCCATAAGCCACTCCTTGGCTCCACCACTGCACAAGAAAATAAGCTGACTACAAAGACCTTGGAAATCCAGACACAAAGACCTGGACTTTGAGGGGAGCTGTCAAATTCAACTCCCTCTCCCTGAGCCACTGTGCTTGCCAGAAGCAGGTAAACACAACAGGACTGAGCTAAGGATTATCCACGGGGGATCTTGTATCCTCTGAAGGAACTACTGGCAGCACTCCCATCCATGGAGAGGCCAAAGAAAGAAGTGCAGGACTTTGGGTCAAAAATGGCAGGGAAAAGGCACATAAATTGTGGCTGTATTATCCAGTCACAAGATGCAATCATACTGCTGCTTGTCACATGATGTCTTTTCCCCTCCTCCTTTGGTCTTTCCCTCTTCTCCTTTCCCCTCCCTTTGCTCTGTTTTGATTTGGTTAAAATAGATGCAAACCCTGGTCTTTTCTATTTTTACTACCCAGCAATTACATAATCCACACCGTAATTGCTGACTTGCAAAACTATTGGCAACAGTAGAAAAACCCTGGAGTTTTAAAAAGGAAAAGGATTATTACAGTACAAAAGCCTTTGGCAGCTTTACTGACTGGTAAAGCATCTGTAATCGTCACTTGCCAGTGGAAGTTACATGGGCCCTGGGAACATCCCCCACACACATACCTCAGGGAAAGTGGGCTAGGGGATGAGAGGCAACCTGGCTAAGAGGAAATGGCAGTGGGTGGGGGCCTGGGCTCATATTTAATAAATGCCCTCACCAAAAAAGTACTCAAGATTGAGTGCCAGATTACCAGGGGTACCTTTTACTGCTTTTGTTTTTTGCTAGGGAGTGAAGTCTCCAAAGGCCAGGACCTTGCCCTCATCAGCTTCCCGGCCTTCCTTCAACCTGCAACATATTTCTGCAAGAGTCTGAGGGAGGGAAGACTACCTCAGTTAAACAGGTGCCTGACAGACACAGGAGCAAGGAAGATTTCAAGCACAAAGAGCTTCTCTGCAAGGCTTTCCAGATATTAAGCCAGAAACACATTATTCAATTATTTCACAAAATGGTCCAATAAAAATATAAGAACTAGTGGTCTGGTAAAGGGTTTCACAACCAAAAAGAAATATTTCACTGAGCCAAAATTCTCTGTATGTTGAATGTGGGTAATGCAGTAGATTAAGGAGGGTTAATGTCTTCTTTCCCTGATTTTGCCAATGTTGCCACATTCCTGACCGCCCCCCCCCACCAAGAATCAAAGTGATCAGTCCAATTTGGATAATTGTATGTGACCATTTAAAATATTTGCCAAATGTGATATACTAGAATGGGTGATGAGATGGAACTGTGAACAACCCAGGTCAATCAGGAAGGCAGGTATTAATCAAAATAAGATACAAACATAACATTACAACACAACCATGATGAAAGGTTATAAAGGGAAAGTATAGGGTGCTAAGGGCATTTAGAACAGTATGACCAGATAGGGTCTGAAGGTTCTTAGAATATTACCCTAAGGACTTCAGGGTTCTTTCAATTTGGCACCTTTGTTTCCTTCTGTCCCCTATCCCTCCCTCCTTCCTATATTTATTGGGTTTTTACTATGCCAAAGATAATACTAAGTTCTTTACATGTGTGGTCTCATTTGATTTTTATAACAAACTTACAATTCAAATTCAGCACTTTAAGATAAAAGGATCTGTTGAAAAAAGCTGAACCTAGCCGGGTGCAGTGGCACACACCTGTAATCCCGGCAGCTCGGGAGGCTGAGACAGGTGGATGATGAGTTCAAAGCCAGCCTCAGCAACAGAGAGCTGCTAAGCAACTCAGTGAGACCCTGTCTCTAAATAAAACACAAAAAATAGGGTTGGGGATATGACTCAGTGAGTGAATGCCCTAGAGTTCAATCCCTGGTACCCCGCATCCCCCACCAAAAAAAGGTGAACCATACCATATTCTCTGTAAGAGAATGATATACCATTTATGACATGGATTAATTAAGACACTTCTGGCAGCAGGTGACGATTCAAATCAAACTTCTATAAGGGGTAAAAAAAGGGAAAGTCTAGGTCCACGCAAAATAAGCGTCCAGGATTCCACCAGTTTAACACGTGGTTACATCCAGGTACTCAAGACACCATCTGATCTCCAGTTTTCTCTATCTCACAGCTCAGCTGTCATCTGTGTTGCCTTCATTCTTAGGCAGTATTCTCCTTAGGGTGGCAAGATGGTCTCCAGCAGCATGGGACTTACATTCTGTAGGGTCAGGGCAACCGAGCTGGAAAGGAAAATAAGAGTGCACTTCTTAATAGTTCTAACAAAAACCCTGAGAGACCTGATTGGCCTGGATGTGGGTCTATGCCCCTGCCTGCCAAGTACTATTCTCTGACTGGCACATGACTATGTGTCCTCCAAGAGATGAACTTACTCCACTGGAACCACTTCTGAAAATAGGAAAGGAAGTGGTCCCCTAAAGAAAATAAAAATGCTCTTATTTAAGAAAGGAGAATGGCGAATAGTCAAAGCTCACTGACCTCTATTGTTCTCAAAGTGGGTGTTGAGACCATACAATAGGTTCTTCCATCAGCCAGGTCTTCCCCGCTAAGGCATGCGCAAAAATACTAAGTTCAGTGTGGCACTGACTAGATTCACACTGCTCAGAGACCATGACTTCTTACTTTAAGATACTAACTGAAGGGCTGGGGAGGTGGCTCAAGTGGTAGCGCGCTCGCCTGGCATGTGTAGGGTGCTGGGTTCGATCCTCAGCACCACATAAAAATAAAATAAAGATGTTGTGTCCACCGAGAACTAAAAAATAAATATTAAAAAATTCTCTCTCTCTTTAAAAAAAAAAAAAAAAGATACTAACAGAAGTCTTACTATTTATTTAGGTCCTTGCTCAGAACAGTTTTAAAGTTCCAAGATTTTACAGAAGATTTTTCCCAATTTTTCTTTACCCCTAAATGATAGACCCTACTCGGCAATTGCATGGCTGGGAAGGGTATAGCTCATTGGCTCTTTAACCAGCATCCTCAGGTTCTGCATAACTCACAGGGAAGGAGAAATATGACAAAGTCCTCCGTGTGGACATTTTTTTTTTTTTTGCTTCCCTTTTGAAGTCTGAACGGAAAACAGCTTTCACTGGGCAGAAAGAGGAATATAATATGATAGCTGGAACATTCACAGAGCAAGATTTTGGAGAACCACTGTTAAACATTCTGAACTATACAGCACTACAACAATCAGATGTCAGCTGCAAACCCCCTGTCATTGTGCATTCTTTTAAAAGCTGCCTGGATCCTCCCATCCCAAGAAGAAATCCAATGGTCTTCCCAGAATCTCAGCAAATTACCAGCAGTTAATACTCTTAGTAGTCTCTTTGGCTCTGCTCCAACTCTTGCTAGAGCTTTGATCTTTTTCACATCTCACCTCCTGAGGCTGGTCTCTTCTCTCTGCTCTAAGCAGTCCCAGATGTGGGACTCAGCTCTTTTTCCATGCTTTACTCCAAAGAAAAAATATGTACACACAAACTCACTCAAAGCATCATGTGTCTGTCAGATTTCCCTGAAAGTATAAAGAGACAGAGATTTTATATTACCCTGCTGCTTGGTCCTTTTATCCATTCCACATGCTCCTCACATTTTGTTGGTGGTAGGGACTAAATTCCCCTTATATTATTCAGAGTACCTTAGCTCTCCATCCCCCTTCCAGAGTTGGGAACCCACTAAGAACCATTCACTCCAGGTTTCTCCCTGATCGGCACCAAGGAACAGTTAAGAACTTTTACTCTCTTGTTGCTACCACCATTCTGTAGTGGTCAAAGGAATGGAATGATTTTTTTCCCAGTACGAATACGAATTATATCACCCCTCTTTACAAGAAGAACTAGTCAAAGTTTTTGTTTTAAATAAATTTATATTACACTACCCTAAATTCTCCACCTCAGAGAACAGCTTATGTAACAAGTCTGAAACAATACCCATTATGTCCACTGACACTGAAATGTGAGTAAGCAAAGCAACACTTCTGTCCCAGAGACACTGCCAATCTTTGAAAGACAAGGGAGTATATATCCTTGCCACCTTCTGATGGAATTCCTGCTGTTTCCAGGCTGGAGTTTTGGAGCTTCAAACTTCAGCAAAATAGGTAAAACTAGAATAAGTTTCAAAGACTCCTTTCACCTAGGTTGGTGAGTCTGGAACCAAGGTTAAAACCAGTGAGAAAGCCTCTCCAAAAGAGAGGCAAGGACAGATGCAAAGAACAGGTTTCCTCCCATGGGCTAGGCCAGCTTTAAGCCTTGCTTTCCTGAGCCACTCATGTTTCCCATCCTTTTCTAAGAGCATGGGACAAGCAAGGCTTCCCACGCAGAGGCCCCTGCATCAGAGTCAGAGGCAGGGAGGCTCTGCAAGGCTGTGAACACCAAAAACAAGTAAATCCTAGCAAAGAAGAATCCTGAGCTTTGAATTCCTTTATTCATCACTCCAAAACATGCAACTGCAGACAACATAGTAGCATTCCTTAGGGATCCTTTTAGTTCCTGGGAAGATAGGGTGAGAAGTCTCTAAATTCTTCCCAGAAGCTAAAATTTATAATACCAAAGTACATTAACAAAGAAAGGATAAAGGTAACGATGTAGAATATATATTTTCTATCTTATATAAGAAACTGGCAAAAGTTAACATTTCATTCTTTAATGCCATCATTAGAAAAATACAGCCTTAAATAAAGGAAATTACTATAAAAATTATATAAAGTAACTTGTATACATTCTAAGTCAAACAGGAATGATTTTCAAAATGAATAGGAATCTCCTATTCATACTGTTCCATGCTTTCTATTTTTACTGACACAAAAACCTACTTCAATGTTTTAACAGCCACACAGAATTTCACAGTACCCCTACTCATGGATATTCACCATTGCAATGAAAATCCTTCTCTAGAAGACTCTGGGCATAAGGGTGAGTGATTCCTTAGATGAAATCTGTTTGCTTCGCTGTAACTTGCCTATTTGTATTCTATGCCATTTTATATTGGGTTTATAGTATTTTTCTTATTGATTTGTAGGATCTCTCTAAAGATTGTAGATATTAATCTATCATCTATTACATATAGTGCAAAAATAATCTCCTAGCCTGTTGGCTCTCTTCTAACTTTGTTTATAGTAACTTGTGCCAGAAACAAGTTTCTCTCCTCTCTCTCTTTTTTTTGGACCTAGGGCCTTGCATATACTAGGCAAAACGTTCTACCACCGAGCCACATCCCCAAGCCAAGTTTCTCACTTTTATGTAGCAAAACCAATTACAAATTACTTAGAAAAAAGTGAAATGGGAGCAATGCACCTCAAGCTCTGAGCCACTATGGTCTCTTCCATTTAGGTCCCTTGATAAAGTGGCTGGTTAGACAGTTATTTTCCGAGTTCTGGTTTTATAGCCAGGGTGACAGTGAAAATTGATCAAGAAAGGGCAAAAAGAACTATGAGGATTTTTGTTTGTTTCCAGTAATTTGGGGTTGCTTTTTTAAATGTTTGAAGTCATAGTACTAACAATGTTGAAGGAATCCTGAATCACTGAAAATCCTTAAAACAGCTTTATGAACAATGAACTGAGAATTTCCAGACTCTTTCAAACTATGTAAGCTTTAGGGCATTACTTGCTGTCACCATGAAGGGAATGACTGAACACAGCCCAGGAAAAATAAACGTCAGACCCCAAAGGAATACAAAGGCTCAAGAGTCCACTGATTCCTACCAGAGTTTTACGCAAGAAACTTTTAAAAAGTTTCCATTCAGCCTCTCACAGATGATTAGTACAGCCCACTCTGAACTAGAGCAGTTAAAAAAAAAAAAAAAACACCCTAGTGGCCAAATAAGATTTGCCTACAAGAGTCTTGGCCAATAGCTTTTCCCTAAAAGTACTTGGCTCCTGTATCTGTAAACAAAGGCCCAGGATCTTAGGCGGTTGTCCTAGTTGGCCATCACTCACCCCAGCAACCCCATTAAACCCCCACACTATTTAAGCAGGCAGTGTAGAAAGCATACCTGAAAAACTGTCCTGGCCACCTTCCCTCCAGCTGAAACTTGACACTCCTTTATGAACTTGCATTCTGGGCAATGAAAGTTCCAACATAAAAACAATCTTCAGTGTCCAGCAGGAGGAGGAGGAAAAAGAGACTTCTTTGCTTGATATCTTGTTGCCTTGATGTTGCTTCAAAACCATTATTGTTATAATATTACCAAAAAGCATCTTTTTTTTTTTTTTGCTAAGTCTTATGCTGAACAACTATACTCCTACTCATTGCTGTCATCTGCTGACCTCCTGGTCATCAAGGACTTGGTCACAGTCTGCCTTTCCATCTCAAGTCAAACCTTTGCCTGATCATGACCTCCTCTATTTCTACTTCTCATCATTGCTTCTATAACTTCTGTTCTTTAACTTCACTGTGATTTCCAGGCCCTTCCCCACCACTGTGCCACCATCAGAACTCTCTTGGATTCACTTCTTTCTCTAGTCAGCTAAAGGACAACCACTCTCCCACCAATACTCTAGGCCACATTTATTTCTCCTCTTCTATTTGTTGTACAACACAGTTTCTATCTGAATGCAGATGTTCTCAGCTTTAATCCTCCACTTGTTTCATACTGCTGAAATAATCATTAGTAATGAGGGCTGCTTCCTCTATAAATTAATGATCTCCAACATTGGGTGAGTCTTCAGCACTGCTCAGCTATCCTCTTACATGTCTCTCAAGGTCATAGCCAATGGCACAAGAGTTTTTTATGAAACCATACCACTCTCCCCACTATCTCACTTGCTCCTAACAGATGATTTCAACTTCTTCTCAGAAAAAACAAAGCTCAAAGAAAGCCCAACTATCTCCCAAAATCTCATCAAATCCCTCTAACCATTATATCCCTATGAAATAAGACTTAAAAGTACTCAGCAGAACTCAGTGGTACACATCTGTAGTCCCAGCTACTTGAGAGACTAAGGCAAAGAATCACTTGAACCCAGAGATCAAGACCAGTCTGGGCAACACAGTGAAACAACATCTCAGGAGGGGAAGGAAAAAAAAAAAAGTGTTCAGAAGAATCTTGGCAAAATGTAAGAAAGTAACAAATGGTGGTACTGGTGGTAATGTTAATCTCAGTGCAGCCTTGACCTTTGTTCAGTTCAAGTTTAAACCTGTCCACCAATACTCAGGATACAGTATTCCCTTTTCCCCAGGAGACTTTCTCAAACAATTTCTACTTGCTGTTTCCCCACAGCATAGGGTTGTGCTCTCAAGAAAAGAGATTAATAGCCCTCTTTATATCTTGCACCCTCTTTTTACTAATTCTTCTCACTTCACAGCTGAACTTCTTCAAAGAGGAGCCTCCCCAATGGGGTCACACCCTTGCCTCTCATTCACGAGCTGCAGTCATGGCCCACTAAAACAGTGAATTACTTTTTTAAAAAAATACTTTCTTAGTTGTTGATAGGCCTTTATTTCATTTATTTATTTATTTATATGTAGTGCTGAGAATTGAACCCAGTGCCTCACACTTTCTAGGCAAGTGCTCTACCACTGAGCCACAACCCCAGCCCAAGTGAATTACTCTTACTTACCAAAAATTCTTCTCTTTGAAAAAATTACCTTAGCAATTAGCAAAAGAGTACAGTGAATGGAAATACAGTGTATTATTGATATAGAATTATAATAGTGAGGGCTGGGAATGTGGCTCAAGCGGTAGCGCGCTCGCCTGGCATGCGTGCGGCCTGGGTTCGATCCTCAGCACCACATACAAACAAAGACGTTGTGTCCGCCGAAAACCAAAAAAATAAATATTAGAATTATAATAGTGAGAGAAATTTTTGATAATATGAACTAGAACAGATTTTCAACACTGTTGATATAAGCAACAGAAAGATTGCTTTTGCTTTTTTAAATGTTTGAAGTCATAGTTCTAACAATGTTGATATAAGTAAGACTATTTACTGTTTTTTCTAAAACAAACCCACCTGTTTTCTAAAACCTTACCTAATTCTCTAGATCCAAATATTGGAAAAAAATCTCTTCTTACTCTGAATTCCCATATCATTACTCTGAATCTGTCATACTATGACTTTCTCTACAATTAAAGTTATCTGCGTGCTAAACTTAAGTTCCTCAAAAGCAGGCTCAGTTGAGTTATTGCAGAACTCTCTGCAGTTAATAAATATTTGATAAATGAAGAAATGGACTTAATAAGCATATATTATAGAAAGCACAATTTTAGTTCGAAATCAATCTAATTGGCCCATTAAATCAGGCCCCCTGAAGAAGAACCTCCACTGACATTTTGCTAACCTAATAATTAGCTTTCCTTAATAAACTTGCATTCATTCACATGTTGTAATTTAGGTTTTTACTCACTTAAATATGCCTTGAAAATGCAAATTCTGGGACTATTTCCTTTTAGGACCAGTCTGGAAGAACTAAGATAAGTCAATGAGGTAGGAATTATCCAGGCTGAAGGCAGTGAGCCTTCTCCCTTACCCCCAAATACTTCAACTACTTTCACATAACCATGTCAGCTCCTCCGCACAGGTCTGGCTTTGCCCCTTGCCCAACCTCCCTAGATCTACTCATTTCAAAGACAAGGAAGTTGATCTAGAAAATCTAAAAAGTTTTTTTTTTCTGGTACTAATATTCTGTGAATAATTGCATATTACCATTTGAAAATCAGATTTTATTCTGAAAAGCAGAACGCTTAAAGAAATGCAGTAGTATATCCTTTTGTGAATATACTTTGTGCCCCCCAACACTCTCAATATAACTGTTAGATCATCTATATGAGACCAGTAATGCTCCCAGGGCACAGGACATAGAGGAACTTCTTCTAAAACACTGACATTCCTATCCCACATCCCTCTGAAGAAGCTAGCCCCTAATCCTTACCTAGGCAGAATTACAGACTTGGAGAAGCATGCCAAGGGTAAAAAGGTGGCCAGGAATGCATGATGGAAAACACAAGGCAAGGTTAAGTGACAGGTCCCAGTCCCTCTGGAGCCAGAACTTACACCTCCCAAGTTTGCTTTACAGTAGAGAGCATAATTTCTAGCAGGGCTAAAAACCACCAATGGCAAACAACCAAAGGGCAGGGCCAGTGTGGGTAAGCAAAAGTCAGAGATAAGCAAAAGAGGCTCCTGATTTAGTATCCAAACAATCAGGAGGAACATCTATAATGTAACTCTTTGGGTAAGATCCAGTTTGCCAACAGGAAATCTCCTATCTCCTTGGACCTCTTCATTTGTTCTCATCCTTTACGAGGAGAGATCATGTGACTGGGACCCAAGTGACACTAGCTTACTAGTTTTGGAAATACCTAAACAATCACCAGTTCATAAAGCAGAAACTTCTAATAGTGCCTCCATTTCCTCCCTCCTCCCCATAAAATCTGAGCAGTAACACTTATTATGAACAACCCATCAAAGCTGTGGTATGAGGCTGTGGGAAAACTGTTCCACCCAGCTCAACAAGCCTCAGGAAGAAAGATTCCATCAGTCCTTCACACACTCATTCAAGCACCCTTCCCGGACTCCCCAGAATGCTCCAAGCACTGGACTGTAAGGATTCCCTGTAAGATTCTTTAAAGACTCAAGTCTAATGACTGCAGACCATCCTTAAAGTTGACCCTTTGGATTCAGAACATCTAAAAGGTCATAACTGCCTTTTTATTTATGCTATCAGAATAAGCTAAATAATTTAATCTCATAAGTATAATTTCCAGTTGGAAAACTGAAGTGACTTAAGAGACTCATGATTTTCTACTCACTAAAGCAGGTCCTCCCAAGATTTCCACTAGTTAGTGAATACCCAAGTGGAGGTAACATGGGATTCCCAAACTAAACAAACATCATGACTTCAAAAAATTCTTTTATCATTTAACTAACTCAGACAAGCCTTTCCCTCACTAGTCAAAGTCAATACACTTTTACTGTATTGCTTTCAAAGACTGAAGCCAGAATTCAATAAACTACTACGCCACCACTAACTATGCCATAATCAAACTGGACACCCTTACTTCCAAAACACTTCATAGCTATTTATGGACAGGTTAGGACCCCTACCCCACACCCCCCGCCTTGAATTCAATGGAACATCCAACATTCTCTGGGTTTAGGAGAATGTCAGAGCTCAAAAGGACCAGGGAACAATGCAGTGACTATAAAGTGGTCCTCTTCTGCCCATCTCATAACTGTTCCTAACTCCAGGCTGCAGCTTTTGCATCAGTATTTCCTTCCTTAGAAAATTCACCTTTAAGAGGCAAGGGAATGGGAAAATTAGAAATGGAGTTTGAAGCTGAATATCTCAATTTGAGTCCTAATTCTACATTCTAATTGAGTTTCAATGTCCATATAAAAGAAAAAGTAATAAAGAAAAGTATGCAAGATTGTGTTAGCTAAGTTACTGTATTGGTGGTACTCTGTAAATGATACAGTGATTTTTATGTGTTGTTTTGGCTGTTGTTTATTATTACTAAGAACTCCTATCTTTCCCCAAGATCTACCCTTAGATCTGATTGAGATCGCTGTCATGCACTCCTCTCCAGTGTCTCTTAAGATGTACAGCAAAGAAAGAACTAAGATACCACCATGCTTCCCCCAACCCTGTAAGGGCACCAAATTTAGGGAGTCTCCATGCTTACCACTTCTACTTTACAAGTAACTTTCTCTCTAAATGGAGATCTGTAGCCTACAAAACATTTCTTCTCAGATATACCTTTAGACCTTCAAATTCGACTCCAGGAAACAAATTCATCTCCCACTTCTATAAGAGTGGCTCCCTTTTCTAATTACCCCCTTTCTGTCATAATGGATAGTCTTTCAATTTTATAGGACAAATACTGGCATTATTGGTGACTTACTACTCTTTGTTCTTTCTCCTCTTCCAGCCTTACAGACTATCAAACCAGTAGTTTCTTCCATGAAATGTCTTTAGATTAGCCCTTTCTCTCCCTGGTTAAAGTTATAATCCTACTGTCCACCCTAGTTGAAAACTTATTACTTCAGGCCTATACTGTCACTATAGCTTCCTAATCAGTTTCTCAAATATTATTTTCTGCTTCATTCATTTCAGACACCCACACCATAAAAACTTCCCTGATCACTACTACTTTTATTACAACCACCTGCCCAGTAATCTATAATGGCTCTTCATTAGCTAATACACCAAGGTAAAATAA